GCCCCCTCCCCCTAAACCCTAAATCGCGATGTCACAAGGCTGGCCACCTCTTGTGATGCCTTCTCGTTGAGGTTCAACGATGTAAAGGGTCGGGGCTCTAATGAAATCCAACCAGCGCATGCCGAAACATATTGCTAGGTCTTGTGGAAGGCTCCAAAATCTTTAAACTCCAAACCCTACAAACCCTAAACCCTATAGACCCTAACCCCAAAACTAGTCAAACGATGGAATGCTTGGTTGCTTGGGTTGAGTGTTTAGGCCGAGCTGAGCTTCAGACATAGGGCTTTAGGTTGGGGAGGAACAGTCCAACACCTATGGGAGTCCCCTACACCTTGAAGCATCCTGAACTGAAACCTAAACTCTAAGGCCCCGCTACTCCAGTTATTCCCTAAACCATAATTCGGCCCTAGACCCTAGTCATTAGGCTGCTTCTGGAGCTAGTGGCACGACCGATGCAAGATCCACGGGAAGCTGAGGCGCACTCGATTTCATGCAGGTGTTCCCTTCCCGGGGCAGAAATACCGTTCTAAGCGCATTCGGCTCAAGGTTTATGTGTGGATAACTTGCAACAACCGCACCTGAGGATTAATCCCTCCCCTACTATTAGACCCCCCCCGCCCCCTAATATTAAATACCACCATTATGTTGTATATTAACATATTGGGAGTATTTAATGTTAGGGGGTGTGGGGGTTTAATACTAGGGGATGGGATTAAGATCGTAGCTCCTGGCTTGAGCAGTCTAGATCTAGACATGAGCTATAGTCTAAACTCCTTAAGGGGGGGGGGTATAAGGAGATTACATAGAGGCGTTATTAAGTGTGATACTGGGAGTTTAGACCCTAAACCCTAAACCCTAATTCCAAGGCCCAGGGAATGTCTTGGACTGCCAGAAGGAGGGTTTGGGCGGTTCGAGTATGGGTTGGTGCTTGGCGCCTAATAAGGGGCTCAACGTGTAGGATCCATAGGGTTTAAGATTTAGGGTTTAGGGTTTAGGGTTTCAAAGGTCCTGGTTCGAGAAACCCTCGTGGTATAGTACCCCTTCAGTAGGATATCCGGTTCCCGACAACCATAGTAAAATCCCCATGCACTTCATATTTTATCTACTTAAGGTGGACTATAGGTAGTATTTTACATCTCGTAATTAATCAACCCACTTCGACCTCATGCTGACCCATTACAAGTGGGTTCCCTAAGCAAGTAGTACCTCCAGGGTCCATCAAGGTAGTCATTATCAAGCGCTACATTAACCCTGTACAACCCTACATACCCTACATGCGTTTATGTCCCTACATGTCCCTAAACCCTAAACCCTTGGACCCCTATCATTAGGGAAGGGAGCATCCCAGCTGCAGCGCTTGTCATCTACGTGATCACGCCGATGTTGGCAACGGTGCAATCCCTGAGGACCGACCTTCCTTGCAGCTGCACGGGACGTACGTACAAAGGATATGAAAAATCCTGCATGACCCTAGGTACCTTATACTTTGGGAATTATGGTACTATAGTATACTAGGGCCATGCAGGATTCTTGGTATCAACAGTAGAAAATGCTTATGACTTTATGACTGGGTTCCTGTAAAAGGGATTAATTCATGGATATATCTAGGGTTTTGCGGCTGAGAAAGCTTCATGGGACCTGGCAACTGTTAAGAATTGGGCTTATGGCCCTACTTATCTTGAGGGTGGTTAACCACCACAAGTACAACTACAAGCCCAGTTCTGAGTTTAAACTAAGTCCCATAAACGGTCAGGTCTCTGTTGATTGCACAGGTCTTGCGCTGCGAGCACAGTTGCTGCTTTGTTTTGTAGTCGTGTGACATGATGTCTGCGTTCTGCAAGCATAGATGCAAGAGATGTTAAGTCACCTCGCAGCATTTTTCAAGAACAGAAGACGCCGGTAGACTACGGCAGACGATTCAATGTGGCTGTTCTGCGACAAGCTCAGGTCCAACGTCACGCACTGCATCGAGGACTGTTCAATGCGATTGACTGTCAACTCCGACGACCCCAGCAACCCCGCAGGAAACGAGCGGGGGAGGAGTGATGGGCGCAAGCACCACGATGGCCGCGAGCAACGGCAAAGGCGTAGGACACCGGAGGTCTCAGAAAGAATACTCGGAGGCAGTGATCGACACATACGTGATCATGTGCTACTATCCGGGCGTTTCACGCAGGAGCTCCCAATGCCTGTAGAGCAGCTATTGTTCAACAAGCATGTGTGTGCGTGCACGCAGAAGCTTACTTTGAGTTATTGCTAGTTCGGCAATCATCTGAACACGTTTTTTCTCGACACGAAGCATATACGTGAACGACAAGAAACGGTAAGAAATCATGTATGGCAGCTGCGGCGCCTGGCGGTTGCCGCTCTGAGTCCTAGCCAGACTTGCCATAGCCTAGCGTCCTGTAGACTGTTTGAACCCCAAAAAATTTGCTTACTATATGTGGGACACATTACAAGCTACTATGAGTTATTTTCATAAACCCTAAACCCGCACACGGCCCTGAAAGGATGAGAAGATTGAGTACATGAAGGATGTTGAGAGAGCGCTGCAGAACAGGAACGTCAGGACATATATGGTCAAAGCGGGTTGCGGTGAAACTTATGGAGATAAGACGGCAACGGGCCTCTACGACGCGAAGGCCATGGTCGCATTCTGTACGTCCACATATGGCGAGAAGACGGGTCGTGGATGGGAAACCTACAGAGAACTGCAATACGTGCATCAGCACCCAGAGGTACATCTGATCCCTGTTAGGCTTCACCCTACATACCCACCAAGACCGCCGGATAAAGACGGCAGAGCTTTGTGTGACGTGGCTTTTCATGGGTCATTAATTCCTATAAATGGATTGAGAAGGGGCGACTGTGAATTCAGGCCCGCTAAAGAAGTTGCGGAAGAGATCATCGCCAGCCTGAAAAGGCTAGGGATCCGAGAAGACGTGAGACTGAATCTGCCAAGCAGATAGTACCGACCAAATGAGCTGTAGTCTAAACTCCTTAAAGGGTGAATATATAGGGATATATATAGGGGACTACTGTAGGGGTTATTAAGGGGGATACTAAGAGTTGAGACTATAGCTCGAATGATGTCAAATGAATAGTTTCTGAGTTTCGGACGGCATCCTACCTTGCAGATGCCATTAGTAAGCGGCTTATCAGGAAACTCCTCAGCATCATTCATGCCATCTCCAGTGGCAGTGATGATACGCCGTGAAGGTGCGATTGCTTTGAAGGTGTGCTGGCTGTCCTGTAACACCGAATTGGTGCAGGACAGATACACCTGATGAGTTCTAGATCAGACCTGCGGTCTGTTTGCGTGCCTTTTCCTTAGCACGCGCTGGCACTGGTTGAGGCACAAAGGCTCACGCTTGTTGCAATGAATTGCCATGAGCTGCCACTTTCATGTCCACCCTGGCTGTTGTGAGCTGCGTGAGGAAAGAGGACCGCGAGCGCTACGCTCTCCAAGCCGATCGAGCTTTTGCACTTCATGGGCATTCATATGGGGGTCTCGCAAAATTGGGGGGTACCTTTTGGGGAGTCCCATAGTCAAGATTATAGCTTGTGGGTGTCTATATTGGGGTCCCCTTACCTACAGAAATTACCATATACGTGCCTTCAGTTCGCAGCTCGGCTGGGTGCCTTTCGTATTCCCATACCTCTAAGCTCCCAGCCGCAAGCCCTGGAAAGGTCAAGAGGTTTCCCACAGAATCCTAAGCACCTATATGGGGAGTATTGACTTAAACCATATTATAACTTCCTTGTATAGAAACCATACTTTATACCATATGAATACTTAGGATCCTTCTGGTTAAGGGTTTAGGGACGAACAGACATGTAATGTGAATTCCGAGATATGTAGTGTGGCATTTCACACAATTTCCAGACTTTATACAGCATTATCGGTCTCAAGCTGGACAAAAACAACATTTAGGAAATCAGCCTTGTTGACGTTGGTTTCAGGGCCAGGGGTTCAGCTCGGCCATAAACCCTGAACCCTTGCGGTTGGCGTGAACGGTATAGACCTGCGATCCTCGGCCTAGGTGAGCTACTGTGAATATTTGCATTCCTAAAAGACCCTTAAACGTGGACATAGGGGTCCCTCTGTGTAGTCCCAGATCTAGGAATCCATGCCAAATAGATTGTAGTAAATATTAATCTCCCTTAAGCTCTAACCTCGACACCGTAAGTAGGGAAACATTGACTGCAGCCCATGAACCTGTAAACCATTCATGAAAGCTTCCCCTCATCAAAGCAATCTTCCCCTAAGGGTTCAAGGACCCAAATAATAGGGTTTTAGGGCCAAAATACCAATAGTATTATAGTATTTGGGCCCTGAAGCCCTATTATTTGGGTCCTTGGACCCTTAGGGTTCTGAAATTGTTTGCAGCGGCAGGCCCAGTGCAACGGTGAGACCAAAGGTCCACGAGCAGCGCAGTTCATTTAAGCTCCTAGCCGGCTATAGGGTTTTCGGGTATTGGCTTTTTAAAGATTTAGGGATTTAGGATTCAGGGTTTTGGGGTTTGGGGTGTAGGGTTTTAGGGTGCCGGCTATAGGATTTGCAGTTTCTTTACTTAGGCAGTAGAACAACTTGAACTTTGTTGGGCTTCCTTCTGGGTCTCTAGACTAGAGTTTGTTTGTGTGTGTGCGTGTTTTTTTAAAGCCCTGTTTATTGGGGAAGAGAGTTCAAGGTTTCAGGATTTCGGGTTTAGGGTTTGTGGTTTTAGGGTTCAGGGTTCAGCGTTTAGGATTTAGGGGCTCATGTGGCCGGCACCCAAACTGACTTGAAGCCTATAGCTTTCTTGAACACGGACACTAGGGTGCTTCCACTGCCTTTTCGGTGTTCCACGTCAGTCCAGAGAAGTGCAGAGGTGAAAAGACTTCATTTACAGCAAAACATATGCAGATGAGGGAGGATCAGGGTAGTAGGCCCAGTCATGATTGCCGTACGGTCATGCGCCCGTTTCCTCCGAGGATGTTATCAGATACCGAAATGATGCACCCATTTCTTTCGTTTCTTGCCCCTTATACGTAATGCTTGTTCACGCAGCCGCCCCAGTCTGATAGGGGATTGTTTTCCTGAATTTTGTTTCATGAAACAAGGTTAGGTTTTAGGGTTTGGGTTTAAGTATTTAGGGTCTTGGGGTTTAGGGTTTGGAGTAATCCACATGAGTAATCTACGTGAGTTCACCCCTTCATCCCAGACCGGAACGCTAGGGCCATGCTATACCCCAAAAGTTCCGTGTAGGTGTATCGTATGTACTTAGGTATATGGAAACCCTTTTGGGCCTATATACTAAAGACCTACATGCCCCAGTTGGGAACTGTAGTCTCCGGGGACACCCAAAAACTTAACATCTTTTTGGCAGCTCGCAGAAGGCCTTGGTTTTGACAAGCTGCGCGCTCCTATAACCTACCCAAAGGGTCCATGTAGGTTTTTAGTATTGGGGGTTTCGGGTTGAGGGTTAAGGGTAGGTGTGCGGGTATATGCTTCTGGACCAAGGGGGTTCCCATATACCTACTTTGAAGCCCAAGTATATACCATACACCTACATGGACCCTTTGGGCTACACCATTGGATTCCTCCCCTGTGTTGAGATCTCAAGATTCCCCCTCCTTCAGCCCTACAGATAGATTCATTCAATTTGCCTACTGTTTCTTCCAAAGCTTCACAGCTTGTAATCCCCATCCGAGATCACCTAGGCACAGCAGAGAGGGAATGTTTTGAATGCCGTGGTCAAGTTACGCAACCATGCCTACAGCTATATCCTCCAGAACTGAGACCTTGGGATTTACAGCCCGCAACTATCGTCGCATGCGTCTTAAGCCACTTGCAACCGGAGTTCTAGCTATGTGTTGTCAGATTTCCAAATATTCAGTTCTATTGTGGGTATTCCTAACTCCCAAGAAGAGGCCCATAATCTTTGAAAACCCTAAGCCCTTAATATCCCAAGAAGACATGCATAACCCTGTATCAGCAACCTGTTACTTCAAAGGGGCCCGTAAATAGGTTCCATTTACACGAAGGACGACTGCAAGCTCCAAATGCCACCTCCGCATTGGCTCCGACGCTGTCAGCCCAGTAGGGGTCATTCTTTGGGTCTACATTAGCTAAATCCCCTATATAAATCCTATATAACCCCTATATTGCCCCTATATTCCGCCAACAACCCTAAGGGTTTAGGGTTTGGGTTAAGGGTTTTCGGGTCGTACGCGCGAGCATCTTAGGGGTTACATAGGGTGTTGGCTGTGTGGTGTAAGGTTTTGCGGTTCAAGGTTTGGCGTTTAGGGGTTGGAGGTCACAAATGGGAGCATCATAAAGGGAACGAATCTTAGGGATGTTGAAAGAAGCGTTACATGGACAGCATCTGTTGGGCGTGTGTGTGTGTGTGTACATATGTATGTATATATGGAGCATCTTACTGCAGCGATTCTATAGACAGGACGTCACGGGCTATATGAGAGAGCATCTTAGGAATTATTTGGAGAGCGTGTCAGCGTATTCAGGGATTATATCTCGGGACCGTTTTAGGGATAATACAGGGAGCATGTAAGAGATCATGTGGTGACCATCTTAGGGGTCATATAGGGAGCATCCTAGGCATTTTTTGGAGAATCTCAGGGATCATGTATCATCTTCTAGACTGCAGAAGGAAGATCTTATAGGGATGTGGGAAGAATTGTGGAGCATAAGCTGGCTTGCAAATTCAGGTGCCAAGTGAATAGGACCCAAAATCTCAAGTACTTCAACATTGAATTGTTGTGAATTGTTTTCCCTACAGCCTTCGCTTCAGATTGGAATATTTGTGAGGACGATTGTCACCTTGCAGAACCCTCCAGTCATGCGGCAGTCCAGGCTTGAAGGCCCCAAAGAAACCGCGAGTAGCAGTGCTTCCGAGACCTTATAGTCCCCCTTAAGTAGATCGAGTATGGGGTATATGGGGATCTTAGTATAACATACCCAAAGCCATATTCTACCTACTTGGGGGTCTAAACCCCCAAACCCCAAACCCCAAACCCTATCTACTTAAGGGGGATTATATGTCCACTGAGCATTGCCCCGTGCTCAGAGCCATGGGATGGTAAGTTGCGTGCTTGGGGAGGACTCCAATGTAGAGCCCAAAAGACTATAGTCCTTATGACCCCTGAAAAGGGTACCCCTAATTTTGGGAAACCCCCTTCTTCAGCTTTGGTGGCCTGGTTAGGAGCGATGTATGCGCCCTAAACCCTAAGCATTTATAGCCCCCCTTAAGTAGATGGATTACGGGTGTATATGGGGATCTCTATTTACCTAAGGGGGACTAATAGGGACTTGCTCAGTAGCTTTGACCCTAAACACCTAAGCTAACCCCAAACCCTAAAGCGTGGTTTCACGAAGTCTCCTGAGCCGTCCAGCCGCTTCAACTGTTTGTCTAGGTAGACCTGAGCTCAACTGTCAGGAAACACCGCGGTTTCCAAAAATTGGGAGGGGGGGGGGAGGGGGATGCCAATCATAAGGGTTTTTGGATTGTTGGCTCTGTATTGGGATCCCTCTGTTTATGGAAGCTACCACCCCTGCGAGCTAGCTTGTAGCAGTTGCTCAGGTTTTGGGGTCTAGAGTTCAATGCATATGGCTTCATGTTTTGTGTGTAGACTCCAGAATTAACGATTTCCACTTAGAGTGTTCTGATTTATCCGGGGTTTGGCGGAGCTTTGTTCTATGTAGCTCCAAAGGGACCTGCATGTTTGAAATTCCAGAATCTTGGGGGGAATCCCTCTGAAATTGGACTCTCGCAAGTACAGCCCGACCTTGATCCTACAAACACTCCCAGACCCCAAACGCCAAATCAAGTGGGTTCCTCCCGTTGGAAGGCTCATACAATGCTTCTAACTGTGCAGGGTTTGGATATTCGGGGCCTAGCTGACACTCCATGTGAGTCCTATCTGAGAACCGCCCACCCACCTGAAAATGTCTTTGGCATTGGTCCCA